ATCGAATATAAGCTATAGATAAAAACTAAATAAGAGTAAGTGAGGCAAATTAAGAAGATAGTATAGAAGACTGCAAAAAGAAGTTAAAATTTAATTTGAAAAAAATTTGAAAACTTTTTTTTTCTGTAATAACTTTTTATTTTCTTAGAAAAAGAGAAAATAAATTTTAAAGATTTCCTAGTTCGCTAAATATGATAGGGTCTGTCCCATTATATTAATTAAAAAAGGTTCTTTTATATCGGTTGTCTGAATGTGATCAGAAATAAATATAGCGAATATAAAAGGTATGATTTTTAGCAATAATAAGAGTTTTTAACCTGAATGTAATAAAAAAATATTCACTGATTTTATACAATATCGAGGCAGAAAGATCCATATTAATTTTTGAATGCATCTTTATACATTTTATACTTATATATTCTTTCGATTTACAAATTGAACTTTAATCTGGCATCGGCAAATGCTTCTAGTAAAAAAAAAATGAAATTGACATACATATAATACAATAGTTTTTAAAACTCTTTTAATTCTGCTTACAGCAACTACCTTGCATAATTCTCATCCATTCTTTATTCTAAAAATAAAAAAAAATTTAATTCTTAACAAAAATGAAAATTCAATGAAAATAATTTCTTTTAAATTTGTTCTTGAAATAAATTTTTTTCAATTGAATTGCCTGCCCTTTCATTTTATTATAAAAATAATTTATTTTTTTACAACTAAAACCTTTGTACATACATATGTATACAGACATAAAATCTGTGCATATTAAATGATTGTATAATAATTAAATTTGTAACCTTTGATATTTAATTGGAAAAAGATTTTAATTTAACAATTAAAAATGAGTAATAAATCTGTGTTATACGCCTTTTTTCTTAGAAGAAAAAAGACTTTATAACTTTTTAAAAATCATTTTAATTAATTTTTAATTGAAATAATTATTGTCTAAAAGTTAATATCACATTTAATTAGGATTTAAAATGTAAAAAGGATAAAATAAGGAGACAAAAAAAATTTAAGATTTAAGAATTCGAACAAAAGTAAAGATTTGAAAAGTTTTATCAAGGTAAAAGTTTTTTCTGGATTAGGGGGTGGTACTTATATAACTGAAATGTACTCTTACACAAAGATACGATAAAGCTATAGTCGTAAATTTTTACTTAAATTTAAAATGCATACACATATGGAATGATGACAAATTTTCGACAATTTAAAAGTGATTGAATTAGATTTTAGAAAGAGAAATAATATTTATTTTTAATCAATGGCATTTTAATTTAATATTTTTAATGTTAAATATATATATTATTTATAGTATATATTGGATATGAAAGAGGTGATTCAAGTTAAAGTGCCTTTTTGATTACTTCGAATGGTTTATAAATATGGATTAATAATGGATTACAAATGGGAACTGGATCAAGTCAAAACCTAAGAAAAATAAAAACACTGCAAAATAAAGCAGTAAGCAATCGATAACAACTCGGCATATTGAACAATAACAGAAAGCTTGTACCCAACATCCTAACCATAACTTAACACAAGGAAAAATGTTACACTAATATGGAACGAAAAATGCAAATTCCTATAGAAATTTAAAACTGGCTGTTAGCAATATATTTAATAATTGATTATTAAATTGATGAATACTCTTGATAATTGTGATAACAAAAAATTCAAAAACATTATTAATAGTCATGTTCTATCATAATATATTTTTTACGACTCGTTAATTTGAATATTTGATGCTAAGTTGATATTATATTAGTTCCTTATTTTAGTATTTTCTTTCTCTTTTTAAATCCATTTACACTCTACTATATTTTTGGTAATTGTTTGTTTTCTACTACAAAATATTTTGTTCATATATCTCATGCTTTAAAACTTTTTAAGATATTATATCAATTATTTTTCAAAATTATTTTAATTTAAATTTAAGTTTGATTTTTTTTCTGTTGATTATATTGAAATTTTTATATATGTATGTATTAAGTTTAATTTTCATATTTTCAAAACTAAAACTAAAAAGAAAAGCAAGCAAACTTTAAACATACAAACTCTGCATGAGCTATCGTTTTGTTGAGTTCATTTTGAGAAATTTTCTTGAAATAAAAAAAAAATTGTTTCCCTTACGAGAAAATTTATGCTACAATAAATTGAGAACAATCGGCTACTGCATTACTTTGGCACTGCATTCAAATCGGCTACCTTTAAGACATCTAGGTATTGTGTTCCAAAATTATACTTATTTTTGGTAATAATTTAAATTCATACTAAAAAGAGAATTCAAAATTGGGGTTAATTTAAATATTTTTAAATTCTTTAAAAAAAAATGCTTACGCTTTCAACTTGGGGGACGTTGAAGTTTTAGCATAGGTAAATGATTTATATTAGAAATATTGAATTCATAAATTAAAAATAATATCATTTGCAATATCAAAATCCATAAGTCTTAAAATTGCAGTTAAATGACATAAAAAAAAAAAAAACCAATCACATAATTAAATGTTATCTTTAAAATGAAAATTAATTACTTAAATAATCGAAATAAATTTTTTTTCATATTATATCTTTTATTATCCCGAATTGATCATACATAAATTTTTAAATTTTAATTTTATTTTAATATATTTTTTTTTTTTTAATATTCGACCATATTTCGTAGTATACAACAACACAATTGTTTTAATAATAATTAATTAATTAATGAATTTATTCATTTTGTCTCCTTGAAATTATCGAATAACAACAAGTATACATGAGTATATAAAAATATAACAATAACTTTTATTTTATTGTTATTGAAAATGAGGTTTAAATTCCCCAATTTTAATTTTAATTTCAATAAAATAATTTTTTTTATTTTCTCAATTTTATTTATATACTTGTATTCATATTTTCACATTAAAATAAAAAAGTATAAAAATCGAAACAAAAAAGAAAAATTACAAATAATTATTATTAAATGAAGTGAACTTTTTTTTCAACTTTATTATAATTACTATCAATAATAATTAGTTTAAAAATAGTTAAAATAAAAGTTTAAAATAGTACAGAAACAAAATAAGACAGTTATTTAAAATAATATTATAATTTTAATAATTTTATTAATTGTAAATGAAAAAGAGAATAATAATTAGTGTAAAATTTATTATAATTATTTGTCATTAAAATATTTGTTTTTTCTTTTCCGTTTGCATATTTATGGGCTGTGAAGCAGAAACATTAGCTGTGTACTGAACTGACAATAAAAAATATTCTTGCCAGCTACTTGGAAAATATTTGAAGTGGCCGTATCGTTTTAAAATCACCAAATTTCTTAGAAATAATAGTTGACAGAAAATACAACTGCCCATTTTTTCATATTTGTTACATAACTAATTAGTAGTATATAGTATCTGATTTTGAAAAAAAATTCCTTGACATTTCTTGTTAAAATAACCCATTACATATAAGTACTTACTACTAAAAAAATTAGAACTGAGTTTTCAAAAATACGGAATTATTGTTTTTCTGAGAAGATTGTATTGGCTTGTAACAACTATTTAGCAATGAATCGATGCAATCTATGCTGTCCTGAAGAGAGAGGACTGCTTTAAAACACGAAAAATTTAATATGTACAATTAAAATCAAACAAATTTGTAAATGAAAGTTGGGTAAGTGCGAACAGAGAATGATTTGATTACTCTTAAATAAGTTTACAACAGCTTTGAAATTTGAATAGGTAAGTAATATTATTTTCCCTTTGATATATTATGTATAGTATTTCTTTTTATTTTTAAGAAAGCCAATTTTTTATATTTTATTATTTTCATTTTTTTTGAGTATTTCATAAAAAGCGAAAGCGAAATGCATTAAAAAAAGAAAAATATAATATTATTTTTTAAAAAAATGTTTTCTTTTGTATTTTCGTTTCATAACGCTCTTTTGTAGTAGGACATCTCTTTTATCTGTGTTTATTACCACTTTTAAATAATAAAAAAATAAAAATGAAGACCAAACGAATGTTTAAAAATATAAAAGCGCAAAAAGAAAATGGGAAACAGAAATTATTAATAAAATATTTAAGTATTTATAAAATATGTGTGTGCTTTAAAAAACACACAATGTGATATAAATTATTATTGTACAATTTAAATTTTATTTTAATTATAAAAATGCTTGTACAGTTCCTTTGCTTTTGCAAAAATGTAATAAGTGATGACTTAATAAATAAATAAAAAAATGTATATACTATTAATAAAAATAATTTACTCTTTCATTTTGGTTTTGACTACCATTCTCTATAGTAATAATTTTTTAATTAATAAAACCATTCTATCAGTATTCTTGCCATCTACATCACAATTGTATTGGATGATTCTATGTCTAGTACTAGCCACATACTTAATTTGTACCTTTCGGAACTCTATCGGTGTGTTTCTCCTACCATTTACATTAAAATAGAATGAGAAGCTGCTTAAGATCTATACATATAGTAAAAGTATTTTGGTAGACACGAGTTATCTATATTCGCTCTTTATATATAATATTTATGATTCCTAAATTGAAAAATGAATTTTGGATATTAAGTCATAATCAAATATATATAAAAAAAAACAAAAACACAATTACTTTTTAACATTTTTCAAAATAATTGATTGAAATGAATTTATAATCATGATTATATTGGCATTCAAAGTGTGTTTAATAATATTTATTATTTAATTTTAATTAATAATTTTTTAATTAAATGCAGTAAAACAATTTTATGATTCGTTAATATAAAAATTACAAAGTTAATTAAACATTCAAAATATTGGAAAATTGAAATTAAAAATAAATTTTAAATAATTTATAAAACAATTATTGATAATGCAATTATTTTGTATTGGTATTTTATTGAAACAGTTTGCATTTTTACCAGTCGAAAAAGTAGTTACTACTGTTTTATTATTCTGGATATTATTTTATCAACTAAAATTATATACTTATGTATTTATGTGTAAGTATTTCCAATTTACAAATTTTTCTTCTTTTTAATAAATAAAAATCAACTATTAAGTATAAAAAAAATTAATTATAACTATTTATTTCAGAAATATCCTCGTGTAGTGTGAATTCACCTTTCTCCTCTTTTTTTAAGGTATTCTAAAAATAAATTCAAATTAAATTTAATTATCAAATTTGTTTTTTTTTTATTTTTTTAAACATTTCCAATGACAATTTTTAATTATAATGTTATATCATTATGCAAATAATTTATCAAAACTATGTGAGGTGCATAATCAATTGTATAAGGTAAAGATTTCACTTAACATTTACTAAAAGGGAAATACGATTATTATATCCCATTTATAAAAAAAGAAAATGGGAATCAATGAATTATGAAACTTAAAAATATGCTAATAAAGGGCTATGGACGGTTAATGAGTATGTGGAGTAACTGCAGAGGTTATTGAGTAAAAAAGTGTAACACTACGTTTAACGAAGCGTAAGTGCCAAAAATTAAATTTTTGTAATATCTGTAATAAAAATCTCACGTATATAAGATTCGAACTTGCAGCTTATTAAAACCATAATGCAAAAACGGTATTTCCCAAATAACACAAATATTCAAAAAACTCTTTCACTTATTATAACTATCTTACTTGCATATTTGATCGATTTACTTTTTCCAATAATTAATTCTGCTAGTCTACAACTCAAATGTGGCATATCTAGTTAAATTTATACCTTAATTTGGTTATTATTTAATCTTACAATTGGATGGAAATTATTCTTCACATTATTTTTATTATTTTTTACTAAAAAAAAAAAACAAAAATCAATAAAACGTAAAAATAAATTTTTTTTAACAAATTGTCTGCTTTTACTCAATTTTACTATATAAAAAGTATTCCCAACTACATTTTTTAAATATTTTTATATAAAGAGAATTTTAATAAATGAAAAATCCTTTTTGACATTTTAATTTTAAAAATTTTTACATTAAAATATTTTTTCAATATTGGAATTGAAACTTATCGATAAAGCATTATAATGACGTTCAAGTTAATTAAATTTTATAAAAAAAATTTAAAATTTAAAAAAATAAAATGATTAAAATATTTATAAATATTTTTGATATTTGATGTACTGCCCTGATAAGTTATTAACTTTAAGAAGGAGAATGAATAATGTTTGAAACTTCAAGAACTACTATAATTTTATATTTATAATTATTGTAATTATTTATTCAGAAAAACTCCTTTTGTTCTTACCTAAAAACAAAGATAAAAATTTTTTTGTACAAACTTATATTTTTAATAATTTCTGAGATCTTCAAAAAACACTCATAAAAAATTAATTAAAAGTTAACATTTAAATTTTAAATAAATTTCACTTTTACCCAACACACAAGTATAATAATCATTACACTTTGGAAACATTATAAGATTTTGATATTTGCCACTCACAACCCAAAAGCTTCAATAAATTTTTGCATATCATGAAATTTTCAATAAATTTTTATGATTCATTGACCATTTTATAATTTTTAAATATCCATTTTATAATAAAAAGTTGATTAATTGAAAAATAAAGAAGAATTATAGTAAATTAATATTTTTTTTATATTTATTGAAAATGAAAAAAAAAAAGCGAAAACAATATTATCCAAAATGGTTTATGTGTTGAAAAAACGAGAAAATAAGGAGAGAGAAACAAAACAACAAAAAAAAAAAATTGTCATATATTGACAATTACCGCCATAAATCAATCCCATTTGACTACACAAAGTGAATAAAAAAAATATTGTGTGTATTTAATCAAAGTTAAAAATAAGTTTTATTTGACAGTCAATCATTAATAAAATTATATAATATGTATTTCAATATTTGTCCATCAACATGTTTGTTTTTATCGCCATTTAAATAAGGTGTGTGATTGTGGATACAGATCGAATTTTCAACTTGAAATGGAGTTAAATGTAGAAGTAGCAAAGACTTTTTATTATAATTGCGGTATCTTTTCTTCCTACGTGCTGAGATATAGGTAAAATTGCTAATAAAAATTACTTGAATACTTTTTTTAATACATTTCCTAAGAAGTTTATTGAAAATCATGTCCGATATTTTTTTAATACATTATTGATGAGAATTTTGACAATATGTAACACTTAAATACAATGCTTGAACTACAAATCGTAAAAAAATGTCAAAAAACTCATGTAGGTTCTATCCAAGAACATCATCAATCTGACGATCATGTCAATCAAGTCCATCGGTTTCACTTGCAAATGACACTCATATGCAAATAAAGCAACTCGTGTCAGTTTATGTTTTACAGTTTACAAATAAAAATCTTATTTTTCTTATGTTTTTCTTTTTACATCAAAATCAATCATTTTTAACAATAAATTTTTGTAAATGTACTAGCACACGAACAAATATAAAAAAAAATCAAAAAATGACAATCAATTGCGTTGGCAACAAAAACTGAAATTCATGACTCAAAAAGTATTGAAAAGCGTAAAAAAGTATTGAAAATACATGATTTTTACAAATTGTGGTTAAATGACTTTCTCGGAAAGTGCTCTACTCATCTTCGCTTGAAATCTTATTATAAAATAAAAATTATAACTAAAAAACTAAATTTTGACATTTTATTTATAAAACAAATACCCTATAATATAAACGTAAAATGTATCATCTTGTAAAGATTTTATTTTTGAAATTTTCCTGTAATAATTTTAAAGAAAAACAAAAAGTGTATGCGCTGTTGATATGGAATTTTAATTTCCAATGTTGATGGATCTACAATTCAGTCCCGTATGATGTTTGAGTATTTTTGCTTTATTATGTTAAATTTTTTTTTATATTTATATTACATAATCGTATAAAACGATTGCAACTATAGTTTTATAAGTTTTAACAAAAAAAGTTTTTTTTATTCAATAAAGTGTTAATTTTTAGTAACAAAAAAAATTTACAAAAATATTTATTTCTTTTGACATTTTCCTGTAAATTTATACCAAGTAACATTCAATAATCGAGCATTTAAGATTATACAAATAAACAAACTGCTCTTACAGCATTAAAATGTAATGTTAATATACTGGAATTTGTAATTTTGCAAAGAAAAAAACAAGGAATTTAAAACAAGTTACAGTAAAATTCTTGGAAAGAATGAAAATGTTTTAAGAATTATACTATAAGTACCCAACTATATGTAATCCTGCTAAAGATGCTTGCGCATTTATGAAAACTTTAATTGAAAATTATTTTATGACAAATTCCTGCCATTATTTTACTTGATTTATATTGAAAATTATTTATAAAAAGGATACAAAAAGTTATAATAATCATTCTTTTGTATTAATCTTTTTTTTCTCCATATTTTTAACATTAAAAAAAACTTATTTCAAAAAATATCTGTCATTTCTCAATAAAGAGATTTAAATTATTTTTTTCTGATTTGCCATAATTTTTTTATTCTCTTATTTTAAATACAAAAAAAAATTCAATAAATCGATCAAAAAAAAGACGAATTAAATCTGCATTTATTTTAAATAAAATCGCATTTTATTGAAAAAAAAAAAACAAAATTCAACAGAAAATAAAAAAAATATTATTCAATTTAACAATGAAATTGTCATAAAATTGCGTCAAAATAACACAACCATTAACAGTAAAAAAAAGAAAACATGATTATTAACGCTAAAGTTATTCATTCATTCATTTGTTCGTTCAGTCTACTCGTACCCTCCTATTTCCGCGTGCCATACACATACTCATTTTTTTTTTTTAAATAAATAGCACCAGTCAGTCTAAAAGTGAATTGTGTGTTATATATGAAATATTTCAAGCTCAAAAAATATGATTGATGACCTTTTTTTTTCGCTGTTTGTTTTTCTGTTCGTTTAAGAATATTAAAATATAAATATAAAAACGTACATTATGTATGTATTTATATAAAATTCAGAATTCACAGGATGTGTGTCAAATCAAAGTTATAGAAAAAAAAATATGAAAGAAATAAAGAAAGAAAATCTGTCACCATTGAAAATAATCATTATTTTAACGTCATTTTACTGTGATATTTATTATGTTGTATTAAACGTGGGTATGAAAATGTACGTGTCACAAGCATGTGATACAAACTTGCTTAATATATTTATATAAGTTATGTATAGAATGATTTTATTTGTAATCAATTCTTCTATATACATATAATATGTAAATATATTTGTAGAGATTTTTAAGCTTCTACAACCACTATAGTATATTAAATAATTTAGGATATTAATAGTGTTATTGTCACTATAAAATAATTTGTCAAAAATTTAGACAAATATTTTGATTCCTACTGTATACAAGAATATAAAAATTGATTTTTAAAATACACATACGTATACATTTTATGTTTTAAAAAAAACTGCCTATTTTAGTGGGTAACTCAAATTTTTTTTCTTTAAATTTATTAAAACCTATCTTAATAATATTAAATAAAAACAATACAAATATGACATTAATTATATGATTTTAAAGCTACCTAACTGGGAAAAACCTTTGCGGAAAAAACCATGTTAATTTGCTTCGAGTCTAGACATATCCTGTCTGCAGTCATTTTCAATGTTTTTATAAAATTAAAATATTCTAGCTCATATGTAGTAAATATTTTGGCAAAAATGTTCAAATCATTTTCAAGATTCTGAAATAAGACAAGCAATTTAAAAAACAAAAAATTTATTTTGTTTTTTCTTTAAAGATAAATGAAAATTTCACATTTGAAATGGTTTTTAGTTTTTAAAGACTCTATTTTTAGATTTTCTTTAGAACAAGTATAAAAAAATCATAGTGAAAAGTTTCGTTTCCCAAAAGATTTTCTTTTTAACTTTAGTTAGTATAACTTTTTCTTCTTCCTTATATATAAAAAACAAAAATAAGAAATACTTAGGCGATCAGTTTTTTATAGAAATTGAGATTTTATATAAAAGGATGAAAAATCTTAAATAAATAGTGAAAAAAAAGAAATATATATATAAGAAAAATTTCTTATCCTTATTCAAAACTATTTACAAAGTTTTCTTACAAAACAAAAAAAAAATAAACATCAAAAGGATAATAAAATTGCAAAATAGGTACTCTATGTTTGTTTACTTGTTTGTTTTTTTTTGGGTTTTTGTTTCTAATTTTAATATTGAAAAAGAAAACATAAAAATTTAAAGTAAAAGAAAAAGATAACCTAATTTTATATGCAACATTGCAAAGAAAAAATGGAAAACAAACAAAACAAATAAACACTCTGAATCCGAGCAACCATTTTTATTTTTATAATTTTATTTTTCTACTCTTCCAACATTTTAATGCATTTTAAATATTTGATATTTTTTTTGCTTCCTCGGTTTAGTAAATCTCGGCTAGAATTTGTTAACCTTTTAACATCTTTCGGTACACAAATTGAATTTTGTACGATTTATTTAGCGATTAAATTATTTTATAAGAAAATTTCAATAATATTCGAATTAAGAATTTGTTTTTATTTGGTTGCTCTAAATTATGAATTCAATTTTTAATTACGCCTAAACAAGAGGGTCGAATGGAATGGCTTTGTATTGGCAATAAGTGCAGTAATGACAGTGTAATTCTACATTATCGTGTTGTTAGTTTTCTAAAAAAAAAATGTTAATAAACAATTCATCTCTTATTTTAATAACAATTTTCGATAAATTTGTGTTTATTAAATTTCTAAATGTCTTTCAGTTCGTGAATTGTTTAAAAATATCCGCGAACCAAAATTGTAAAGTTTTTTGAATCGTTTTCAGATTCTTTTTCAACTCTCCGAGACCTTACGGAAAGCCCTTACCTTAAAAATTTATTTTTTCGTTAATTGCATCTTCTTGCACGGTTTCCCGGAATGTCTCAAATTGAAAAGGGCAATTTTCTAAGGCAAATTCCTTCTTCCTCATCTTAGCCAATATTATTTTGGTTGTATTAAAAGTTGACTTTTTCAAAAGTTTAAAAAGAATACCATATTTTTATACAATTGAATACCTAAAAATATGTAGAACAGTTTGAATGTTAAGGGTTAAAAAGTTTTAAATGTTATTTTTTTATTTTACTTCAATTTCAACTTCTTTAAACATTAAATTTGATTTTATTTCTACAATTCCACTTATAAATAGTTGTTTTTAATTTTCTTTCTACTTCATTTTTGTTTTTTTTTTTAAGCAACGCTAGTTACAACAAGGATTCATAACAAAAAATTTAAAATAGATAAAACATGAATATTAATTTGTAAAGTTTTTAAACTTTGCTAAATTGTAGGAAATTTGAAAAAAATAAGTTTTATAGTTGTGTTCGAATAATACAGAAAAAAATTAATACTATTTCTTTGTCTCATGAGTAAAATAACATCATAAAGCTCTATATTGGTAACACATGTGTGTTATAAGGTAAATCTGAGAGCTCCTAGTTGGAAAAGAATACCATAATTTTTAATTAACTAAAATATACTAAGGATGAAACAAGAATTTTAATTATAATTTTTAAAAAAAAAAGCGGAAAATGCTGTAGAATGTGCGAAATAAAAATCTTAATTATAATAACTATATATACGAGGACGGTGTTTCTGGTTATTGCAAGGCAGAAAACTTATCATATTTTAAAAATTTTAAATTGTCTAATAAGACATTCAAAATTTTTAAGAATTCAATAATCAGTGAGTGGAAACGAAAAACTATAATTGTTTTAGTATTGTTCTATTAAGAAACTATGCAAAATTTTTTTTATAAGAAAATCAGCTTAAGGTACGTCTTCTTGATTTAAAAAAATATTCAATTCTGCGTTATCTTATAGTTCTTGCATAAATTTCCTGGCGAATCAGATTGATAGCAAACTAATTAATTAGCCATCGCTGCTTGCGGGATTGTAATTTACGTAAAAACTGTTATAAGTTGGCCATTAAGTTGCAAATGTTAGACTTTCGGATTTGTAACTTAATTACAATTAATTGTCAAAAACAGCAGATAGTGCAATTGCTTTTTTTTGGTGCATAACGAATTCTAATATTTAGTATTCATGTAAAATTTACTTTAGGTTTAGAAATTCGGTTATTTTTTGATTATACAAGCTACAAGATTCTTTCATCAGAAAAATCTTAGAAAATTAGGAGGAGGTGTCTGTAAGCTCGGAAAAATTAAAATAGAATAGCACAGATCCATTTACTTCATTTTTTTGGTTTACATTAACCTTATCTACACTCGTCAATGACAGTCCTGAAAGCAGAATATTTAATTTTAGAATTTAACTTTAATTATGGGAATTTAATTATTGATTTTATTATGATTGATTTTATGATGATTCTTCTTAACACAACAATTTTTATATGCTTTTACATTTTTTAGTCACACAAAATATTGGACTTTTGAGAAAAATACAAAGATTGTTCTTTGTTTTAAAATGAATTCATATGGAATAAACTTTAAGTCTTAAAAATATCATTACTTTTTTACTGACATTATACATAAAATATTAAGGAGGTAGAAATCATAATAGATTTTTAAATTTTAATAACTCCGACAAATTGTTAAAATTTTTTATTTAGATGACTAGGCACGAATTTATAATAATTGTTGATAAATTGTATTACACTTCCTTGTAAAATACATACCGTTAAGTTGTAGTATGTCGGCACAAGGAGAAAAAAATTTCATATTAAGTAAATCAACTATTAAAAAGCATAACTCTTTTATTTTCATTTTAACGTAAAATTGTTTTACCTTTAGAAATCAAGGATATAATAAAAATTGAATATTCTCTTGTGAAAAATAATCAACCACCAACTACCACCATCCCATCCCATCTTTTTAAAATATTTTATTAAGGATTTTATGGCATAATTGTTGAAATGGGACCATCGGGATTCAATTTATTAGATTAGCTGTAAAAAAAAAGAGGGGATTTTTGTTAGTTGTTAGAGGCTGTGTACGATGATTTGTTTTCCTCCGATGCCATTTAAAAAAAAAAAGTAAAGGAATCTTAAAAAAAAATAGAAACTTTTTAGTGGAAAACTTTTTAATAGATGAAATGTTTTTATGACCGCTATTTTTACATATACCTACAAAAAACGAAATGGTTGTATAAAAATATTACAAGGATTTCTGTTTTTTTCTTCCTTTTTTTTTTTTTTTTTGATTTGATCTCAGAGTCTTGTACCTCAAAAATGAAATTAAAACTATTTTGTAAGAAATTACAAGTTGATAAGAAATTAATGCTGTTAATTCAAGTAAAAGAAAGAACTTAGTGAGTATATGGGAACAATTAAATGATTGATAATGCAATTGATAATTGCTGCTGCAATTCAAATGGGAATATGTTTGTTTTTTAATGATATTGAATCTGTAAATCTATTTTTCGAGATTGAAGTAGAATCTTTATTTTTGAGTGGTATACCCTAATATAATATTTCTAAGACTTCCAAGAAAATTTTAATTTATTTTCTCCTGATATCACCACTTGTACAATATGGTATTCCGGAAATCATCGATTCGAACAGTACATCCATTCCAAAGCCATTGTTTTAAAAATTTAAAGAAAATTTTTGCTTTGCTAAAAATATAGTCATAAAATGAGTCCTGTCCTTTTCAGTTACCGACCATCATATTATATCTAAAAATATTAAATACCAGTTATCATAAAATTTAATTGAAATTTCAATATTTTATGTTTTTTTTAATAACTAAAGCAATTAATACATTAAATGTATATTAATTTTAAATTTATTACAAATTATTTATGTTTAGCCATAAAACAAAAAAAACATGAACCGGAATAGTCCTTTTGTTTCTTTGTGTTATATAAACTGTTACATTGATTGAAATTTTGTGGTGAACGCAACAATATTCCAATAAAATTTTATGAACTAAAAATATACGGTCCAAAATATTCGATTTTTTATTATTAAATTTAGTGAGGGAATAGCCAAAAATCTAAAAGAACATTTAAGATAAAAATATTATTAAATAAATATTTTTATTCGATTAATACAACAGTTAAGTCACATATTGATATTTATAGTCATAATGTCCTAAAATATCTTTTTATATAGTACATATTATTATTTTATAGTACGCATATGTATTTAGGATTTGCATATTAACAGCCTATAAATGAGGTTATATTGTGTTTAACTATGACACATAATAATAGAATTATATGGACAGTATCGAAATTACGAAGAGATTTTTATTTATATTTTGTCTCATTTTATATTTGTCATATTATATATTAAATAACATTATGGTTAAATATGAATATTGAAATTTTTGTAAATATTCACTTATATTAAACTATTTTATTAGGACAAACGAAATTTTATGTTTAATAGTTTTTTCATCGAAATTTTTTCGGTTTTAATTATACATTTGCAAAAAATTGGGAACATAAAAGTAGGAGGAAAGTGAAATATGACGGCAGTGAACAAAAATATCATTTTTACGTAGCAGAGGGGATGCCGTTTATAGCAATTTAAATACTCTTACTCGGACTGACCCTAAAAAGACAGCATATCTAATGTTTTCCTCGTGACTAATCTTGTCCTCGTATACCACACAAGTTTTCATAACATCCTTGATAGTTTGAATACTTCATCAACATTCTCTATTTAATTTTCTATCATAATAATTTTGAATTTTCTATTATCGTTAATTTTATTCCTATTATTTAGTTGATTCTGTTTTAAATATCTAAATAAACCTTATATTGTCAATATTATTTCTATCTTATATAATAACATTAATATCCTAGTATAATGTATGTACAATATAAATGTTAACATTAAGAATGATAGACAATTATTTATTTGATTACTTATATTTAGAATATTGGTCTACAGAAAATAGGTATGTATATACTTTTATTGCGAACCTTTTAAGATCTTTGTAAAATCTTAATAAAATGAAATCAAGCAATCGAATATGTATTGATGTGGCAGTATTTTATAATATTTATTTGGTTGTAAAATTAAACAAAAAAAATTATTGTTTTGATTTTTCAAGGTCAAATCTCTTAATTATAAGATTGTTAATAATTTTTCATATTAGAGGATTAGTATAACCTAAAAACCTAAATTTGAAACCTAAATTTGAAACCTACTGAAATGATAATAAAATAAATTCTAAACGAAATTGAAATTGATTAGAAAAATAAAATTAAAAATTTTTCTTGATATCTTATATTTAAACGTTTGATTAAGGTATAAAATGAAATCAAAGAAAATACATACACATATGTATTAAAAAATTTAAAAAAAAATAATTAAATTTATTCACACGTTAATTAAATTTCAATGAATAATAAAATTTTGCTAATATTATTCAATATGCTTCACTAAATTTATTTGTAATTAATTTTAATAATTTTTTGCCTTAAGCTTATTTATATTTAGTTGCTATTATGTTATTTAAATTTTGTTGAGTTTGAGTTCAAGTTTTAGAATTATCTTCAATTTTATATATTTAATTTGCTCATTTAAACCAAATTTTGCAAGTATACGCCTGTTAACCATTTAAAACTAATTTGAATGTTGAACATTTAAAACTAGTGGATTATGGAACTTAAAAAATTTAATCATATTAAATATGACTAGACGCTAAACAAATCACTGGAAAGCTTTACGTTCGTAACAAAAAACAAAAAAAAAAAGAAAAATTAATGATTAATTTTGCTATCTCTCCCTTCTCTGTTATTCAAAATTAATCTCCTTTAGGTAACACTAAAATAAAACGGTATGAGGCTAACAAATAATTCAAGATTATAAAAAAGACGGAAAGATAAAAAGTTTTTCTTAAATTGGACCTTTACAACATCATTTTGTTTTTATTATTGGGACTGAAAATATCAGAAAAAATTTCTATGTACAAAAAGGATACCATTTTTTTTGACCTTAAAAATTACTTTTTCTTCTCTCTGCTTTTGATTGTTTTCTTTTTAAAGGAAAAAACAGAGAAAAGCGACTGCTGTTTTCTGCTTTTTTTGTTTTTAATTTTTTAATT